CCCGAAGTCCCGCTGACTCTTTGCAAACAATGTTGCCAGGCACGTCGTAAATAGCCGTGCGAGCCATCCCCTCTCCCTCTGCCTTATTCGTCTTTGAATTTGATTACTTAAATCGCGTTTACTTTGCAGAGTTCTCGCGACGCGTGCGTATGTACTTGGAAACATAGCAAATTGATGTAATGGGTGATCGATTAACGGCTCCGTTATTAATTCTTTAGCATATTTTACAACTAGACACTTTTTTTTAGAGAGTGACCAATCTTATTTTCCTTTAATCATAAATTCCAATAGAGCGCACAAGTACCATTCACTTGATATTAAAGAGAAAACTGTTCTTGCCGTTTGCCTTTTAATTTGTAATATAACACGTAAAGTATACGCGTATAATATTCACAATCTCCCAATTGAATTTTCACACGCTCGTTACTACTCACTGCCGAGAATGCGATTGAAATTAAGCTCTTGGGAAAACACTGTCGTTTTTTCCAATTGATTTACGCGTAACGAGTTTGAATTGAAGAACACCGGACCGGTGAGCATTTGGCATTTTCAGAAAAATCCGTTTCGCGATTGTGCGATCGAAATCTTTTTCTTACGCTGCTCGTTCCCTATTGAAGACACGCCGCGTGAATTCACACGAGCGCGAATGCAAGGAGAATCCAGGGAGAGAAGGGGGGGAGGGGGGGCGTATTACAGTGGGGACGAAATAATTTCCTGGTGTCCTCCGCAGTCACGAAGGACGAAGAACGGAAGCGAACTGGTCTTTCACAAAGTTTCTTGGACACTCGAAGAAGCTTCTCCCTCTCCTGCGAGAAATTGCCGGATAATGGTCCCCGGTAGACGGAGCGACCAAGTGATCCTTACGGGATAAAGGGTGTGTCGCACACGTACGTACAAAAGGCGCCTGCTGCGTGCGTGTGTGCACCGGTTCCTACAAAGCCTCCCTGCTCCTCCCTGCTCCTCCCTGCTCCTCTCTGCTCCTCCCTGCTACTCCCTGCTACTCTCTGCTCGTCCATAGAGAATCTCAACGGAAAGACCAAATCTCTACATCGTCCTTTTCGACGTAATGATTGCGCCGTGCGGCGCTTCGCCCTTTGCTACGCCAAGCCCACCCTCGTGTATTTCGTCGCTCGTAAATGTCAGTTAATATGATCGACTCATGAATAACTCGAAACTATTCGTAGCAATCAATTATGCGTATCGTCGTGTCGTACACGCAATTACGTAAAAGTCAAGTCCACCGGACACTGTTTGCGAAACTAAGAGTTCTCCAAATTAAGTTTGCTAAATCGAAAAACAAAATCTGAAGAATAAACGCCTCTCTATGTGTGCAATAAGTATGTGTGTTTTGTAATTTTAAAAGCAGTTGTATAATATAGCAACTATAATATAATAAACTATAGTAAATAAATTTCGAAAATTACTAGATATAATATTAAAAGATACCCGTACGTTATTTATACCCCTGTAAATCGCGGGCAATCGTTATATTATTTTGTTATAAATGGTTGATTGTTACAAACGTCAATTTGATTGAAGTAACATTTATAATAACAAATCCAATGTGTCCAATCGTTTCAGACAATCGGTCAGCTAGTGACTGGCGAACTCAACTAGTGAACTTTTTAAAATAAACTTTAATTATTAGGTAAATGTATGTACTCGTTCACTAGAGCTTGGAAGGGAATTTGAATAAAGAACGTTGACACTTAATTTTCGCCACATCGCACGATAAAAATGATCGAAACAAGAGTAGCAAAGGTGACTTGGCGAGAAGATTGTGATAAAACAGTCTTAATCTTTCGCTGAAATGTTTTGCGCACATTCGAAGAAAGAGGTCCCTTGTATTTTTTTTTCTATAGTCGCAAGTATCTCTTCCCTTAGCATTAAGTATAAAGAAGTGGATATCTCTTTCCCCGTTTGCGATATAATGGGGGCTCGTCGAGTTTCTCTTCGCTACCGAGAGTACACCCACCCACTTGGTAGCGAGCCACCTCGTGATCTCTCCGACCTACTCAGAGAAAGAGAGAGAGAGAGAGAGAGAGAGAGAGCGCGCGCGCGCGCGCTAGCGACCAACTCAGAATCCCCCGCGGTCGAAGGCACTGGTCCGAGAAATTCAATTACTGCTAAACTTCTCGACCGGAGACTCTCCTCGGTTCTATACTAGTGTAAGCACTCTGTTTCGAAGATCGGCCAGAAAGACATCTTACGTATCTCCCTCGTCGCGCAGGTCTCACAGGTACGCGCGGTACATTCGGGATCGTAATTGAAACCAGGTGCACGCGAAGGGTTTCCTTGTAGTGACGGGATAGTATCTGCGTTGCTCTCTCTCCTCTCTTTCTCTCTCTCTCTCTCTCTCTCTCTCTCTCTCTCTCTCTCTCTCTCTCTCTCTCTCTCTCTCTCTTCGTGGATTCTACTTTTTTTTACGACATTAGTTTATCGTATCAACAATCAATAATATTATTGTAAAATGGAATTGATTCGATAGACTCCACACAAGTGATTTTTTTTAGTAAACTAACTGCCGGGATAGTAAATTAAAAATGTATGTCAATTTCGTTAATTTCGTACGATTAAAGAGTAAGATCTGAACTATTTATAATTTTTTTCATTTTGGTTTTTCCTTCCCGAAAATAAACCAAAGTCAAACAAAATGACATTCAGACTGTAAATGAAGCAAACATAATCGCGAAATATTTTACAGATACTAAGTATGATAGAAATCTTACGTGGCACTTAAATTTGTTAATCAAAGATTGTTGGTTTACCGATGCGTAGTTTCATCGATGCCGATATTTCGATCGATATTCCTCACTTTCCTCCAGATCTAGAAATTTGCGTGTTTATATAGACACAGCCCCCGAATGATATACTCCAAACTTTTAATCCTTAATTACTTCTGGAAATTAGAGAACATTCTCGCCTTCGATCTTTCCGTTCTTTTCATCGGCGACAGAATCCATGTCCCGTAAAGAATCGGGAAAGCGTTTCCCCTCGCAGGAAGAAAATGTTCACTCACGATATTCTTCGTCGACATCGTTTGCCCTTTTTTGCACGCTTTGAATTCGCCTGGAAGGCGATCGCTATCAGATCTCATGCTCTCCTCGTCTTCTTCGTTTCTTCCTTGCTCTTTATCTAGTATTCTACGTTATACTACGGAAAGCATATTGTATACTTGTAATAATAAAAATTATTACGTATACAACAGCGACGGAAAGCGTGCACGAAGATAAAGGCAAATTGCATTTTATGCAATTCGAGACGTGTAATGTAGCATTTAATAATATGTAACGTTCTTTTTCTTTAACATTAAATTGTATTTTTATTTTACTCATTCGCTTATTATCAATATTAAAAAATATAAGATTAATTTATCTAAAACATTGTCTAATTTAGATTTTCTCAAAATTGTTGATAAATAATCAGTCGCGCGAAAGACGATAAATTGCACTAGCAAGGGGTAAACGGTGAGCAATGAAATGGGAAATGGAAATCGCGCCCGGCATACTCTTGTTGCAAGTGCGAGCTGAATGGACAAGCGATGTAACGCAACATCGCGACGCAGATAGATTTTATTAACCACAACTGCATTTGCACGTGAGCGCAACGAAGGGCAATCTCTTTCGAATGTCACTAGCAGAGGTAACAATAAAGTGCAATATGAGCGATAGAAAAGCGCTACATAGTGTTCGTAACAAGTCGATAATCGATTGCAATTGAAATAAAGTGATATCCGACCGGGGAAAAAGAAAGAAAGAATGGCCGATGGTGTGACGTGAGCAGAGACACTCTGGACATAAATGTCTTCACTGCCTCACATTTACTGTTAAATTCGATCTAATCCTAACATTCGTCTAATGTAACGTGTCTAAGTGAGAAACGCTTGTAACATGAAAAGTACAATTACAAATATAACCGTATATTTCTGAATATACGGTTGGCAAGATATCTACACGTTGAGATCTCTCCTCTCTCCTCGAACGTCTGAATTGAAAGATTTCCAAGTGTTACGCACAGTAGGTTCGTCGTCAAGGAAGCACTGAAAAGAAAAATTTCGCTACCATAGCTAATCATGGTTTGCTTGAAATATTTTGCTGCCATAACTATAAATTTCTAAACCACAGCAAACGGTTTGCTATCGCATCTAACGCAATAGGTACAGTAGCAAAATATTTAGCTATCACAACTAAATATTAGCTGGCCATATTTTACAACTGAAACTTAGTTGCCGCAGGAGTTTTTAGCTATGGCAACTACATTTTTCTTTCCGTGAGGTGTCGCGAAGCAAGGTGTGTCAGTAAGGTGCAAGGTCAGAGGTTTAGCAGAGAAGTGAGAGCGTACTCGAGTATATCCTAGGATGTAAGCCCGTGAGCGCACTTCTCACTTGTACCGTACAGGGCGAGAACAGGAGTCGTCCTGGAAAAGAAGTTTGCGGAAGGAGAACGAAAGGGTCGAGCGAGCGGGCGAACGGAGAGAATTAAAGGCCGCCACTAACGAGTACGACTTTCGCTTCGAGTGGCATTCGAGTGTAATAAGGGCCCGCGAGCTTGTGACCATTATTTACTTAACAACATTATGGCCTGCGGCCACTTGCCCTACTTAAGGCGTGGTACGCACGTTCTTAATGGCCACTCGTCCGCAAGTCCCGCGTGTGCCGAACGCACATGCGCGCCCGCTTCTTAGTCGCGTGCCGCCGATTATTATTGCGCCCGTGTATATGTATATATCGAGAGCTTTTGCCAAATAGCGATACTCTACTTTCCCGCCCTGACATCGAGTTGGAGAGCGTTCTGCGTTCAAATTGAAAATCAAGGATACTGCGCTTCGGACGCACGAGACACGTGCACATTTACATTTGCAGTTGCGCGTATTACGTAGTTACGCGCTGGACAATTTTGATGGTTTTTGTTTCTAATAAAAGAGACGATTTGTGTGGGCGATACGTGAAAAACGAAAGGGGAGGTTCTCTCGCAAACTTGAAGCAATGTCGGTTCACTTACCGACAACAGCGTCAGTCTTCTCGACCTTGGACTGCCGATACTCGTCCTGGGTGGATCTCTTCCGCGGTAAGAGACCACATTCCGCGGGCTGATGCTGAAGCTGCGTCTGGATGTGCTGCGCGGCAGCGGCGGCGGCGGCCGCCGCGGCCGCCGCGGGTATCGCGATACCCGTCGGACTCGCTACGTGCGCCGGGTGCGGGGGCGGACTACCAGCTGGCGTCGCACCGGCGGCCGCCGGTAGAACGGGGGCAGTATTGCAGCTGCCGGCATTGTATTGCAATTGCAGGCCCAACTCGCGCGCCTCGCTCTCCTCCTGGGCCTGTTGCCGCCTGAGCGCGACCTAAAACAAATTTATTTCTCGCTACAGAAGGATGAATCGCTAAAACGTGCCATTAATATCACTACAGATTTGCGTCTTAATACAATACCCGATAAGGTGCAATTTCATGGACGCTAGAAACCAGCGGCAAATGAGTTCTAGTGACTTTTCGACGTAGGGAGGGAAAAAGTTGAGACCGTCTCAACTTTTTCAGTGTGCCGTGGTGTGACTGGGTGTCGCAAGGACTGCGTTCAGAAACACCACCCGAGTACCCCAGCGTATTATTCTATCCTTGTTGCTCACCGTATGTTAAACAAGGATAAAATGATACTCTGGGGTACTCGGGTGGTGTTTTTGAACGCAGCCAGCGGTGGTTTCACGACGCTCATATTTTGCAACTACTTCTCCTTCCCTAGGCGAGCGGTAAATTTAGTCACGTGACTATATTTGACGCTAAATCATAGCGTCAATGAAATGGGACCTATAGAGTTACTCTTCCACCCTCCCCCCCCTTCTCCTCCTACATCACGAGCACGTGAAAAGATGACAATTGAAAAGATGTGTTGCTCATTCTGTTGGAGAAAGCTAGAAAGTATAAGCCGCGATCCTTATCGAGGCTACCTGACAACGAGACCAAGTCTCAAGTGCGTGTATTGCAATGATATAATTTAGCATCCTGTATCTGTAAATCCAGAAACGGTATTCTGACGGTAATAGCTTACAGAAGAGAGGTAACCGGGATAATCTCTACTTAACTTGTGTGTGTATGTATACTAAATGCAAGTAACTTGGACGACGTATGTGTAACAACACGTGTTGCCGCACATGAATGCGAAGGGGAAGCGAGACGATGAAATTAAGATGATGAATTTATGGCGTTTCAGGAAAAGCGGTAAAGTATTAGCAAAGTGCTAATTAGCGATTAATATAATTAATTAGAAACATTTGATCAAGTTTTTTTATCGCTATTCAGTTCACTTGCTGATTCTATTCATGTCCCCGTTACGGTGATTATGAAATCTCGGCGTGTAACAATCGATTTTCAGGTACGTTTTATCTCGACCTTCAACGTCAGCCTGTAGATATCTTAACAGTTCGCGATACATCCCTCTAATTAACAATTGTTGCAAAAGCGATTTCAACGAATCACTGTCGGTGGTTTTTACATTATTTTTCAAACCTATCCACGCATTTTCATTTCGTGCATTTCCTTCTGATGAAAGTTGCAACGTCAGGAAAGTGAAATTATTTTGCAGCCGCGTTACGCTACGTGGATACGTAAAGCAGTCCCTTCATATGACTGTCCATTAACACACGCTCTCTTTCGCGTTGAATTGGAGACAATCGAAAATGTCTGCGGCAAGGCGCCGATAATTTTGCCGAGTTCTACAAATAGAACTCCGCGTGATAGAAGAAGCTCGTATTTTGAAAACCGAAAAGCACATTTCTAACTTTACGGCGTACAGTGGTGAGAATTTACCTGAGCGGCCATGACGCGTTGCCTCTCGGCGATAAGGGTGCACTTGGCACACACGCAATCCCGCCATCGGCAGTAGCGCTTGTGCCCCTTGAGCGCGGACACGACTCCGTGATTACGGCATCGTGCACACTTGGGGGTCCGTTGATACCTCTCGGCACTGGCGCGCAGGAAGAACGCGGCCGGCAGCACGTGATGTTGCTGTTGCTGCTGCTGGTGCTGCATCAGTTGACCCACGTCCACACCGAGGCCGACGCCGCGGGGTAGCGACATGATCGCCGCTCGACAGGAGCCAACGGCACTCGCCGACAGGTGCGGAATCGGAGTGGAATCCGCGTGTGCTCCGAATACAATTGCTTGCTCCGCGCGGTCGCCGCGCGATCACCGGGCCGGACGCGAAGCCGCGTAGTCGACGACACTCGCACTCGCCCCCATGCCGGAAGGGGGTAGCTTTCGCCGAGGGGGCAACTTTCTCGGCGATCACGGAATCGATATCTTCGCCGGCGTACTGGCACGCGGCGCGATCGCGTCGCCTGATCGGGGGTCGGGGGTAATCAGGTTTTTACGCGCACCATCGTCGAGACGTGGCTCGAGATTCGACGCTTATTACAACCGTAGATGGGCAGGTGGTACTCTCTCTGGTAATTGTACGCGGCGCACGCGCCTTCACTTTCCTAAGTTGGTGCGCGGCCGTCTCGCGCGGAGAACAAGACCCTCTCGTTCGGCTGCCGGGGGCCGAAATGCGGAATCGCGTCCCGCGGCACACGCTCTCGCCCCCTCTCATTCCCTCTCGCTCGCCGGCATTGTCAACAATTGCAGCATCCCGGGTGAGTCGATTCAGGTAGCGCGCGCGCGGATAGACGGAGAGGCGGTAGTGCGGCGCGGCAGCAAAGTGGGAGCTCAACGGGGCCACAGTCGGCGGCAGGGAGAGAGAGGAGAGGGTGAGCGAGCGAGTATATGTGTGTGTGTGCGTGTGAGAGAGGGAGGGGAGGGATAGGGCAGAAACTAACGGTCCCCTCCATGCTCCACGCGAGCGCGAAATAAAACACTGTGCCACAGTGTTCCACCCCGAGACCTCGGCCAAACGCGACGTCTCACCGAGCCGCAGCCACGCCTCTACTGGCCGCCGATTGGCAGGCTCGCGCTGTACCAAACGGAGATGTTAAGAGTTTATATCTGTGGAGTGAAAGGGGGACATACCTAGTCGCGTATCCACCTACCTTTGCCCACTCACCCCGAGGTCGATCGTGTGTATCTTCCGCGCGGCGGTGATGGTGGTGATGGTGGTGACGATGATGGGATGGTGACGGTGTGGTGGAGGTGGAGGTGGAGGTGGTGGTGATGTTGAAGGCGGCGGTGCTAGTGGTGGTGGTAGCGATAGCAATGGTGATGGTAGCGACGGCGGCAGCGGCGGCGGCGGCGGTGGCGGTGGCGGCGGCGGCGGCGGTGGCTGCGGTGGTGGTAACGGTGGTAGTGGCAACGGACAAACACATTACTCTTTTATTTAAAACCCGTTCTGGCATCAAACACAATGCGAAGCGATGCTCAGACGTTTCTCTACGCTCCGCCTTTTGTTTCAGCCGACTGTTCTTAACCACGCACGCCTTCCCTCCCTCTCTCTCTCTCTCTCTCGCTCTCTCTCGAAATGCGTCTTTGCTTTCTTTTCCTTCTTTTCCTTCTTTCTTCCCTTCATTCGTACATATCTTACTTCGGTCCTCTCCCTCTCTCTCTCTCTGCTCGCTGTTTTCCCTCTTCCCCCTTGCATTCTACCCTCCATCATCCCTCTCTCCCATTCGGTCTCTTTCGTTGGATACGGTCTATAAACCGCAACCAACACCGTCATCGCGACGAGTCTTCTTTGAATCATATTGTACAATGAGATTTGAATAGAGAAGGGAGGAGGGAAAAGGAGAGCAGAGACCCATTGTCGTTTCACCAATGGCGGCCGATTTTATAGTGATCTAATGTACAGATGTTATTTACCCCGCAATGAGAATAGAATAAAAGCATTGTGCGCATTATGATTTGGATCCCATATCTCGCTACGTTTCTATACCTACCCTCACCCTATCTAGCCCTAACCCACCTAATGCGCGTGGTATACGTGTAATGTAGACGTGCACATAAAAGTTGCTCACGTTTCCGAACCTCCCGTCTAAAGCTCGAAAAGTAACAATCGCGGTGTCGATTATCTCAAACGGATACACTCTGCGTTATCTTACCTAGTTTACGAATGTACAAATTCGCCACATCATTCACGAAGAAGCAGTATTCGGTATGTAAGTGATTCTGAGCAAAGGAAAAGGATTCACAAAATCACATATCAACTGGTGTTTTTCAAGACCATATATGTCAAAGGTTAAAAGTGAAAAACATGCAGTTGTCCACTTACCAAATATATTTCATACGCCCTTTTTACGGGCGGCTCGCTGAATTATTATCATTGGTAAATAATTGTGCTTGTCGTAAATCGTAACGTAATAACGCGTCACGCGCAACCCCCAATTTCCACTCGGTCAAATTATCCACATTGTAATTTAGCAATCGATGAAATTGAATACGTCTGCTGCGAGCATCATCGAGAGCGTCATAACGAGGGAGCATAAATACAATCGCGACGGGAAATGACTTTTTTCGATGACGCTCACGGAAAGATTTTTCATTTGACGGCGAATTTGAGCAATAGTAAAAGTATTCCAAGAGAGAGAGAGAGAGTTGACGTTGGCATTTACGTAGCTGTATACAGCACGGGCACGGACATGGACACGGACACGGATACGGACCTTTTTTACTCTCGCACATTGGCCACTCAAAGTGAACGTACATGGGGGAATCAATAAACCAATAGGTTCGCCAATACATGCCCGTTCATTAAGTATCGTGTACTTTTTGTACCAAAATCCGAAAAGCAAACTCGGAAAACTCGGTATGAGGAAAAAGGTATGAGAGCAGATGGAAACGTTATCTATTAAAAGTCGTTTCACTTTCCTCTTTCCTAGAGATCCAATTGTGATCGAATCATTCATAGGAAGATGAGTCGTAAAACTATTGTACAAAAACTGATTGCAATTCTATAAAAAAGCAATTTGACAATTAATATGTGCGCGCGGACGTGTAAATTTGGCGTTGTAAATCTTTATCATACAGATAAATGTCTGTCGTACAGATAAGTGACGCTCTTCGGGCGTTCGATAGAAATGATAGATGGTAAAGGTTCGTTGGAAATTCCTTTTCCCACGGTCTTGATGTCTTTGTGCCCTCGAAATGTTTCCGAAAGTATCGGACTTATCTTTGATCCAATTGCCCGGAAGAACGTCATTCGCCCACGCACACTCGAGATTTTTCGCGAGATCGCGTGCACTCTTGGATAAATGGTGCAATCGAGATCAAGATGATGGCAATATCGAATTACGATGTTTGCAAACGTTGAATTCACTCTTGACACTACACGGACAGCCGGTCGAATAAGAGCCGCGATCGGATAAGTGAGATTAGATTATAATCGCCACGCAAAAGCCTCCCCTAGAAGAAAGTGCAGGTATAAGAAATGCTTAGGCGACGTTTCGATCTTGACGGATTTCTTCTCAGCGTACCGAGTAAAGTGTCAATCTGTTTGCTCGATGAGCATCATAATCCGAAGGATCATTCGAACGTGCTTGTTACACGCAGAGATATTATATTAGGTACTTGAATAAGTTTCCGCCGTTTACTGATGGATGGTGTTCGCAGTACTGTGTGCACGTAGCTTAAGATGGTAACACATCTATATAGAAGTATTACAATCATGCTTTAATATTCAGTATTGCCATTTGATAGCAGTATAAACAACGAATTTTACCACTGCATTGAAAATGTCGGATTTTTGTACCGACAAAACAGCATTTGCGGGAGGTCTTGCTCCATTATTTCATTTTAAAGAAAAGTGCAGCTGAAAGCTATCGTTCCCTCGTGGAATATTATGATGACAGTGCTCTAGCCGAAAGAAGTTGCAGAGAATGGTCTCAACAGTTTAAAGATGGTGACTACGACGTGAAAGACGAAGAACGCTCTGGTGCACCAAATAAGTTTGAAGACTACTACGAGCTGCTGAAACCGAATGAAACTATCACTGCTGATCGCTATCGAGGACCGATAGTCAATCTGAGTCGATCATTGAAAGAAAAACGTCGGGAATATGCCAAAAGGCATGACAAAGTCATTTTTCAACATGACAATGCTGGACCGCATGTAGGGAGACCGGTTAAAGAAACATTAGAACTGCTCGGATGGAATTATTTACCTCACCCGCCGTATTCACCGGACCTTGCGCCATCGGATTACTATCTGTCTCGATCAATGCAACACGGTCTTTCGGAGGAGCATTTCACTTCTTGTGAGGATATCCAAAATTGGCTCGATGAGTGGATCAGCTTAAAAGAGGCATATTTTTTTATCGCGGAATCTATTTGTTGTCCGAAAAGTGGCAGAATGTTATAGCTAACGACGGAAAATACTTTGAATGATGTATTGTTTATTCTTCTATTTCACTAAGCTATATAAATTTGGAAAAAAAACGGCGGAAACTTATTCAAGTATCTAATATAACGTATACCGCGGTGAAATGATAAATTGTCAAAAAATTTAGGGACACCTGTGCGGTGAAAATCTCCTCTTTTCGTGGGTGCCGGAGGAGGATCCTTCCCCGCTGTCGCCACTCGTCGTATACAGGTTTAGAATTTCATTAGCATGTTCAGCTAATTTAAAATGTGTATACTTTTACAATGAATTTTAAATCAAACGAAATGCTTAAAACAACTGTCCACTCTGTGTTTGCAACGCAAATACGTGTAGGAATTGAAGAATTGTGTTCTTATCGTACGTAAAATTGACTCGAGACCGCGCTTCTTTGTTGAAGATTACTTCAAAGATCTTGGTTGTCGTTTCATGGATAGTTGTAGAAGTAATCTTTCTAAAGTATATACTATACATATATAAATTTCTCGGTAATTGCCAAGAAGAATCTCATACTCTGGATGATACCACCACACATATAATATATCGGTGCAGACACGTTATCCATGTGGATCCATATACCTATTGGCGCGCACCATTCAGGTCGCTGTCGGATCGCGATGAAGCTCGCGCGATCTCGTCGCGATCTACCGCGCTGGTGAAATACCGTATGACTTTTTGACGTGCTTTTAACAGATTGAATTGAAAATGGCTCCGTGGCTCTCCCGATATATCCGCACCGAGCGCATATCCATATCCAAACCGAAGCGACCGAACGAACGGACAGGCGAGGGAGACACGCGAGAGATATATAATTCTTCTTCTCCTCTCTCTCTCTCTCTCTCATCCCTGATCTACCTAGCCCTGGACTATCCGCCACCCTCCGTGTGGACTCCGTTTCTCTCTTTTCATTTTTGCACATTCGCTGATGCGGCACATCGCAAGCTGCGCCGGCGGAAACGATCCCGATAGAGAAGGGGAGGAGGAGGAGGAGGAGGAGGAGGAGGAGGAGGAGAAAGAGAGTGGGACTGGACCGGTCAGTCCGTGCAAAAGTCGCGGAGGGGGCGAGCAGAAATAATGTCCTGGCTCATTTTTTAAAGCCGCCCCCGGATCCGCCGGTAGGATGGTGGTCGAGACTCTACGGGGAAAAAAAGTGACGGACGCGTACAAGTGTAGGTGCGCCCGCACACGCTTGGATCCGATATTACGGCGCAATAGCCCGACATAGGGCCGGCGGTGGCCGGTCGGTCCGCCACCGGATGTGAAACGGTCAAAGCCAAAAAGCACTCTCCGCCGAAACGGGCTATATATTATCCGCAACCCTTCAAATACAGAACCGTCCGCGAAGAGATCCATACATAACGTATAACGTATAACGTATAACGTATAACGTATAACGTGTGCGTAAGCCCCACACTCGGCCTGCGGAATCCCGCCCGGCTTATCGTCCGTACCGAGAGAGAGCTTTAAGCACTTGCGTCGAGTCAATTTCAGCCTCTTCAGGCAACTTTTCTTCCTTCTCTTTTACACAAGTAATATAAAATCACTAAGTTAACTAACGCGTACACACTCTCTCTTATTGCTAAATGATACAATTGTACACATTTATCATCAAATTTGGTTTATGGCAAGGATTATCGGTATCGAATGTGTCGATACCCGGGGCACTCTTGTTATCGCGTAAATCGTGGGAAAAAAGGAGCGGTAATGATCATTCCGGCTTGTTTTTATCCTTCCGTTAGAGGCTACTTCGTTAGGAGAGCAGTGCGGGTTTAAAAAGTATGTAAACAGTCTCCTATCGTATACAGACAAGGTGGGCGTGGTTAAGAGGGGTTGCGAGTTCTCGGTTACGCACTCGTCGACCAATGCGAAGGCTTTTACCGTCTGGCAACTGTTGCAAACGCAAGCGCCGTCATGCCTACCTCTGCGAGCTCGCTATAGGCCATCGTATCCGATGACGTACAGGCGCAGACTCGAATGCTGGGTGAGAGAACTTTGTCACGGGTGCGCGCGTGAGTGTGTAAGCTGCGTGCGCTGTGTGCGAGAGCGAGGCTATTCATTCATTTTCCATTCTCCAGTCTACCACTTTGTTCTCTTAACAATATAATAACCTTCGCTCGCGCAGAAAGACGTTTACATAAAGATTAAACACTCGTCGATGTAACTTATTTTATTTTTCTGCTCTCTCCCTCTCTCTTCATTTTCTTATTAACCCTTTGCGGCTCAATATGGGAAAGATGTAATATAAAAAAAATATTTATAAATAACTCGGCTGTATAAAAATTTTGTATTCTTTGTTAGTTGAAAAACATTAATAATATAAATTGAGAATGTATCCCATGTTTGTAAAAATGACGCAAACACTGAATGACGTACATACACTGATAGGAAAATATGGTTGCAGTTACCACAATGGCTGTGTTCAGCAGAAGTTAGCGCTTAATAAGCGCTTTATGCTGATTGGATAGATCTAGAAAAATAGCTCTGTTTCAGCACAGATCTGAAAGTATAATCCAATGAGCGCAAAGCGCTTAGCAAGCGCTAACTTCTGCTGGACACAGTCAATCTCACTATAATTCATAGTCATTTTAGGAGCCAACCCTCCACATTTTTATAATTCTCTCAACTACGTAAGTTATGGTTGACCTAACAATGTATTACAGTTCTCATAGACACAATGGCTACGTTGAGCAGAAAAAACTGCTTTGCAACTGTTGTACAATTCATTTATCTGATTGGCGTATACTCTTACATTCACTCAAGATGAAGAGAATACGCCAATCAGATTCACGAATTTTACAATGGTTGCAAAGCAGCTTTTTCCGCTGAATGCAGCCAATATATTGGTCTATGCAATTTATAATATGGTTGTCACAAACCAAAACGAACTTTTAATTTGGTAAGGTGTACTATAAATATTGCAATAACAACCACAAGTAAAATTTCGATCAACTATATGTAATAGTAATAATCGTACTTACATTGGGAGTAATATTCCCCGCTTTTTATTATATATACAATTGCGTTCACTATGTTCATTGCTTGCGTCACTTTGCACTCATAAGGAATAGTACAAGAGCGCGTCTAAGAAAAGACAAGTAATCTTGTATGAATGTATAAACTTGTCCGTATGTATATCATCCTACGCGATTTTCTTCTTACGAGAAAGTCTTATACCGCGCGTCCCTCTAGCGAGGACATTCCGAACCACTTAATTTTTGTTTACCATGTGATTAGTAAGGCGGATGATAAGAAATGTAGTTAAATTCGCTATTATTGCGATTGTATTTACTATATAAAAATAATTAACGAATGTACTATTCATTACCTGGACATTTTAACAGAATAATAGTTAAAAGCTTATATTTTATAGTAAATTTTTTTAATAAATTGGCACCACTGTGTCTATACGGTTGCTATTACCAATATTATAGTAATAATTACTATAAAAATGATATTCCTGACTACAATTATTTTACCATGCAATTATAGTTTCAAATACTACATAGTTTTCTGTCAGTGTGTACTTTACAGTCACAAAAATCACAAAAAAACAGCTCATAATAATTTTACAGTAAAACAGTGGAACGCAAAGGGTTAATATAATTTAATTAGTTTTGTTCACATCAATTCACACTCGAACAAAACGTTGTACTCGTGTTCTTTTCACACTAAGATATCATCTATAATTATAATAGAAGACACGATTGTTTCCATTGAACGGCAAGATAAATTTATTTCAGATACCACAACCGTCATTGTAACAGTTAGGCAACGTCGGATTTTCACATTGACAAATGTATCACTTTCTTTTCGTTTTGTCGTTTAACGATTCCTCGGAACAACGTTCCAGCGCGAAAATCATGCTGTCTATTATTTGACTCGTGCTGCTGTAGAAATATTTGTATTTCTCATCGGCTTTCGGATGACGATTGTAAATATCTTCCATAAACTCGCCGTCCGGCGTGAAGAAGAGGATCCTTGGAACGTAGGTACCGTCTGGTTGAAATCTGGCTTCGTCTTGCGCGGGAATCTCATCTTTCCTCACACCCACCATAACGAAGCTGCATCGTCACGAAGGTACATCGTCAACGAATTGAATGTTACTCCTATTAATTTGTATTTCTTTCTCTTTCACTTGCGCGCAGTTAAATTTGTCGTAAAAGACAAGTCAAGTACAGTTGAATGATTTTCTCCACTTACACGTAACTGCAGACTCGAGATTGTCGACATTACAAAGCACACATATGTGCTAAATCGAGATCGTAATGCACTTTCTTGGTATTATATAATATATAAAACGAAATGGATAGCAGACAGGAATGCGTGCGCGTGTTTTCAGCGCAAGCTAGCAAGAAAATATAATAGTTGCTTACCGCTGGCTGAGATCGTGGATTCTGATCGAGTTGGTAAATTTAGGCTTCAATTTCTCGCACGACGGACAGCCCGGCTTGTGGATCAGCAGAAATATCGGCTTCCTGTAAATTTTCGCCTCTTGGAATCCCTGTTGCAGATTCCTCCATTTGTACATGTGTCCAAAGCCGCGGTTGGTATCGTCGTCAGCGGCAGCGACATTTCCGAACACGCAATAATAGCTGATACGTAGTAACAGATCAAGGGGGTAACGTTTAGAGAAGCGAGACATTTTTAACGCCTCGTTGTATTTGACTGTATTATGCGTATAACTGTGTACGGCCACATGGCGCGATTTCGATTCTTGGAGCTGCGCGGCCAACTTCGCGGCGCTTCCTTCTCAAACGGCATACGAACGCCATCTACCGTCGGCGGAGTAACTAAACGTGCAACGTGATGCGAGCGACTCAGAAGGTAACACATACGGCACATTTTCGAGTCGGATCGGCGCGTGTTTCTCCAAATTCTTTACGGCCACGCTATCAATAGCTGCTTTCCTTTTACACTCAAGTGATATTGAGTCACTCAGTTATATGAGTATTTTATACTCGAATATGACGTCATTAATGTGAGTCTATTAAACTCACTAAAGCACGCGGTCTCGATCGTGCGCAAAAACTCAGTTAAATCCGGTTGAATCTCACTTCTCAGGAATCAAAAGGAACATGCATTCAACCGAGTTATGACGTCACAAGTGAGATTCATTTGAGTTTTCATGTAGAAGGAAACTACTAGTACGAACAAACCGTGCAATTTCTTTTGTAACAAAACTATTTTTCCCGCGATCGCAACTGCCCCACCCTCGACGGTGGACGTGGCATTTTACACGCGCTGTATTACATTCTAATGATTTTCAAATCGCCATTTCTTGGCGCGCGCGTTTCACAGCCACGGTACGAAGCGCCTTTCTTCCCTCAGCTCTCTTTCGGCGAAGAAAGGACACCCGTGAGTGGGCCGCAGCCTGTAACTTGGCGCCTTTACGATTATCCTACTTGGTCTCGCGCTACCTGGCTTTTATCGCGTTGACTCCACGTCACTTCGGCTTTGTTCTCTGTTCCGTACCCTCTGCCCTCTACTCCACATTACATATTTCGACCCGTGTCGTGTGTGTGTGTGTGTGTGCGATGGTCGCGACTTGAGTCATTTTCTTACGTGTTTCTTACATCCGTGACGTCCGTGACGCAGGTTCGACAGGTTAGCTGTCTGAGCAGTCCGTGCGTCCCCTCACCCGCGTCGTGTCAACATTAAACAGTGGGAATCGGTGGGAATGGTGGGAAACACGCTTGTTCTACACGACTGCTCACGCTTTTTACCAATCGTGCCGGACCGCTAACCAGCTTGTCGTTTCATGGAAAGTGTCGCGCGCGCATCACCTCGAGATCGCGGTACACCGCACCAGGTCGCATTCCAGGATCTCGACGGGTCGACGGTACAAAATGAAGCCTTTAATCGAATTCGAAGAGTGCTTACGAGATACTCCCAAGTTTCGGTAAGATCACTCGCTTCTCCCCTGGCAATTGGCCACCTAATTACCCCTGTGTCTCGTGCATAAACGAGCATGTCGATCCTCCCTTTCCCTGTATCCGCTATTACCCGCTTCTGGCTTCGAGGCTTGTACGGAATGTTGTGCGTAAACCATAAACTTTGCAGATCGTGCATCGAAGAGCTGGAGAAGAATGTGGATCAGCTTGAACAAAAGTTAGATAAGGTGTCGTATACTCCGCAACGTCTTGCCTATATATCATTGATTTCGCTACTGCGTCCCCATCTGGGAACAGTTCCAGGTAATGTGCGTACACTAAATGGCTCCGTCATCTTTTTACAGGTATTGAAAAACTGCAGTTTAACCATCGATACTGGGAAAGCCTTTGTTGGACAGCAAAAGTAAGTTTCGTACGTCTATCTACTCTTTGACTGTTCCGTTGTCAGTCAAATAGTCTACTAGTTAGATTTGACAGGACCTCCTCCCTTTGTCGGATCAACATTGTGTTATATTTATATATGCATCCTTTTCAACGTGTATATTTGCAATATTTGTATCTTTCTACAAAATCCTAAATATTTATGTAATTAATATCTTTCCCGTAGCCAATTCGCCAATAGTCTATGGGAATTATCTTTATACTTCAGCGATGATCCAGAAATAATGGCATTTTTAAACAAGCTTATTCACGCTCTGCAAGAAATGAACAAGTATCACACAATTTTATTGGACCAAGCTTCTAGAACTGTGATGAAGGATCTTAATAGTTTTATCAAAAGGTAAGAAAAGAGGGTTTATTCGACGCCGTCTCGTTTCTCAAACTGGAGTTGACGAAATTCAACCGTGCCTTTCCAGCGATATCAAGAGAGCGAAAGAGACTCGGCACTACTTCGAAAGGATTTCCGGTGATCTTGATATTGCGCTGAATAGGAATTCCCAAGTACCGAAGTCCCGGCCTGCGGAATACGAAGAGGCATCGAATATCCTGTCGGCTACTCGCTCGTGTTTCCGACACACTGCGTTAGACTATATTCACGCGTTAACGATGCTGCAAGCACACAAACGACACGAGATATTAGGCACATTACTGAGCTACATGCACGCATGTATCACTTATTACCACCAAGGTAGCGATCTCGCTCAAGATTTAGACCCCTTTCTGAAAGATCTCGATGAAAATTTAGTTAAGATGAGAGGTGATTCGAATAAACTTGAAAAAGAAATGGAAAATCGTCATATTTATGTCAATAATCGAGATCTAATCCCCTCTCTGGTACCTGGCAATTCCAAGATGGAAGGCTATTTATTTAAAAGGACCAGCAACGCTTTTAAAACTTGGAATAGGAGGTGGTTCTGTTTGAAGGATCATCAACTGGTATACCGAAAGCGAACAGGCGACGAAGAATATACAGTTATGGAAGAAGATTTGCGACTATGTACTGTAAAACCCGTAGTTGATTGCGATCGGAGGAATTGTTTTGAAGTTTTAAGCCCGACAAAGTGAGTACAGGCTTGCGCGCGGTGATGAACACTGAAAAAGGCTATTCGATCTATTCGGTAAATTTTCATCAATATAAACCAAATAATTTTTATTTCTAATTTATAGGAGTCATATCTTGCAAGCGGACAGCGAAGAAACGTACTTGGCGTGGGTAACCGCGATGCAGCAGGCTATCGGTGCTGCTATTCAGAGAGGCATGAGTGTAGCTGCTAATGTTAATCCACACCAATTGCAATCGCATGATAGTAAGCATCCTGCTAGGCCATTGACAAAACTAAAGTCAAGGTGGGTGTCGTCGTTGCTATATTAGTTCGTGTCGAAAGAACGAGTGTGCTTTAACTTGACATTGAAATTTCAGGGTGTGGGAGCAGTTATTAAAGATCTCGGGTAACCAAGTTTGCTGCGACTGTGGTGACGTTAATCCGCGATGGGCCAGCATCAATCTAGGCATTACTCTTTGCATAGGTATATTTAATTTTTTTTAAATATACACATTTGTGCTTACTCAATATTTTTCTTCATACTTTCATACATAGAATGTTCTGGTGTACATAGAAGCCTTGGGGTACACTACAGCAAAGTTCGATCCTTAACTTTGGACGATTGGGAGCCAGAAATACTTAAAGTGATGGCAGAATTGGGCAATTCTGTCGTGAATAGCATATACGAGGCTCTGCCTATATCTCCCGATATCACTAAAGCTACACCAAAATGTAATGGGTACGTAATATCATGATGAGTTGATCAACTATCTCCTGTTTAATGGCAAAGAGAAACAAATCTTATCAAATTCTCTTACATCTCTCTTCTTTAGCAACGTTCGAGAAGCTTGGATAAAATTCAAGTACGTAGATCGTAAATTTGTAAAACCTCTGACTGATGTAATACCAGCTGGTCATCATGCTAGTCGAGAACAAATGCGATTTCGGAAATGGAGCGTACGTAAGCTACGCCGCAGACCACGCAGTTGCGATAAGATCGACAACAGTAACGAGACATTGTCAAGGTTGTCAGCTGTAAAAGAGAATCATCCTTCGACCAGCTCGGACGAAAGTAAACACACCTCAATCGATAGTTTGAATTCCGTTGACAAAGCGAAGAGAACGGAACGAAATTCCATAAGCTCGGATGACAGTGCTAATGTAGATTTGAAAAACAACTCCACCCTCTATGGAAAGATATTAAATCGTTCGCAGAACGACTTGAATGACGCTAATAAATATGTTAAGAGTACAACTACAACTCAGGGAAAAACAAAGGTTGCAAGCGGCGAACCGCTTGCGAAGGAACTTAATTCCATAGAAAGCGAGCTAAAGTCGAATACATTAACAGTGAATATTAATACATTTTCAGTCGGCGAGTCGGATGATAATTCCAATAGATCTGCCAGTAATAAAGTTAAAGACGACAATGAAAATGTTTCGTTGGGAAACAAAGATTCTCGATCGGAGAAGCATTGTAACGAGAAAGTAGAATCAGCTGCTATATTAATGTTTGGTTGTGACATACCGAAGCCTGCTATCGATAACAATTTAGAACTGAGTTCCGATCAGGATTCAACGGCTGGTGAGGATGAAGAATTTACCGATGAAGAAGATATAGAAAATCTACATCCTGAGATGCTGCTTTACAAAGCTGCAGCAGCGCACAATTTACCTGTAATGTGCGCAGCGCTAGCGGCCGGTGCTGACAAATTGTGGTCTAATGTTAATGATAAAAGCCGTAGTGCCCTGCATCAAGCGATAATAAGTGTATGTATGATACATTTTTTTTATACAATGTAACATAGTACACAAATACACAAGTATACAGAGTCTGTCCGAAAAGTATCGGAACGGATTTTTTTTAGCCCTAGGGGGGGGAGGTGGGGGGTGGTCTTCACCTGGGCAGGGACGTTGGTGAGGTATGTCAAGTATACGACGCGACCCGGCTCGGTTGAGAAAAAATCAGTCCCGATACTTTTTGGACAGACCCTGTGTTATATAACATAATGTACATATAAATTTTCTTTTTATGTTTTGAAATTATATCTCATATACAATGGGTCTCTGTCTGTCTATCTCGTTGCTTTTGCTGAAAAGCTTTAGAATTCAGAGACGTAATAATGACCATTTATTTTCTTGTATACAGGGTTCCGTTATGTCATGCGAATATCTTCTTCTGAATGGCGCGCGAATCAATTGTCAAGACGCCGAAGGGAAAACGCCGTTGCATTTAGCGACAGAATTAGGTAATAATATTATCTTTATGGTTTTTTTTCTCTCGAGGAGGACAGAATTTTACAAATGTGACTACATCTATATATATATATATATAGGACACACTGCACAAGTATGCTTACTTCTTAAACATCGCGCTGATCAACATATTAAAGATGAAAGCGGAATAAAACCTTTGTCGATTGCTGTAAAAGAAGCAAATGCCGATATCGTCACCTTGTAAGTATTGCATCTGTGAAATGTTATTATATATTATATCATATGTCAGAATATTTGTTTTATCATATGTGTCTGTGTCAGATTACGACTCGGCCTCCTAAATGAAGAAATGAAAGACTCTGAAATAGGTGTCACCGGTGATGAAACGTTTAATGACGTTGTCCGTGATTTTAGTCAGTTGGCTTGCTCGCATCCAGAGCGATTGCAACGTCGAAATGAAACTACAAATTTATCACATACGCTTGAATGAGGTTTACAAATTTGACATAACATTCACAAACATTTACAAATAAATCATATTTCATATATCACGAATTACAAAAGCGCGCGCGCTGCCCTTTAATTTGTTGCAGAATATCGATCGACATCTGTCGCATTAGTGTTAATAGAAGCTGGCATTTAAAATCGTTATGCACGAAAAATGATCGATTCCAAATGAACTATTCCAAAAACTGAACAATTGTAATTGTAATATCCAAAATAATTTGATTACACTCTTTCTTGATACAGCCCATTGTTATAACATAAAGTTAGTTAAGATAATTCGAGAGCTACGATGATTACCTTCCACTAATAATTTCCTATTCACTGAGTAATGCAAGACACCGAGAGATTTATAGCAAACCCATATACACTAGAATTATTGTATATATCCACTGAACTGTATATTGTAAAAGAATATATTTTTAGCGATTCGGTGCTTGGTAGAATAACAACGTATCACGAGATATCACGTAGCTTTTTTTAAATATCAAAGAGCAAAGATAGAGCACACACACACAAATATAAATACAGATAAAGATTACTTATAAATAACTTATATACATAGTGTAAAACCATATGGAAAGATTTGTTTAATTCGCATTACATTGAAAATCTTGCCACTATACAGCGTGAGTCGCTTAAAATCGGCTACCCAAATAATATTTCAGAAAGAAATGCTTCAAGTAAAAGTTGTTTGGTATCTAGGTGATCATTGGGTGCGATGGTGAAATGTTTTTTTAAGGTGGCGAAGCTTTGAAGGAGATTTTAAGGCCATCTTCGTTTTTTTTAAATGGAATCATGCACATTTTCAAACTTTTCAAACTTACGATTGTAGCTTTTTTCAAGACAGTTTCAATGGCCATAAAGATATTCAAAGTCACACAGACACGAAAAAAGATTTAAAAAATGTTCACCACACATGTGAACACTACCCGCTCGATACTACACAACTTTTACCTTAAGCATTTCTTTCTGCCCCCAAAATGGTATTACTTGGATGTTCTAAATGACTCGTCCTGTATAATAAATTTTTAATTCACTTATCTGGCGCGGTGGATATAATCCTAAGTAAAGTAAATTTTTTATATATACATATATCTATACTTTGTTTATCAGTGTTACAATTATCTACGATTTAACTCAATTTATTCATTCTGATCACGCACATCCCTCTCACCCACCCATTCACTTTTAGAGAGTGACATGACATTAAGAGAGTAATGAATGATTTTTACAAGTGTATAAGAAATTATTACATATATCATGGTGATATACAGTCTCATGTTAATTGATGAAAACGGTTTCTCGATATAGGTAAAGTGTATTTTCCTAATTTTTTATCCATTTATCGTTCGGTAATAAAAGAAAAATATAAGTTCTATTGCTAAACATTTTTATTTGTATACAAAACGCAAAAATTAGATCTGATTAATTTTTATACATTTTCTAATCAATAGTTGCATATTATGGGACAAAAGTGTACAGTGCAACCATATGGAAGTTAAATAAATTATCAATTAAACAATCAATTTTGATAAAACGCCTACATACTCATTTACTCGCACACATACACACCTCGCAATACGCACCTCTTTGTTAAGGAAATCAATGATGCAATATATACATATGTATATATTTGCCAATGATTTGTATGATACATGTGCGTGTTTTATTGCGTTTATATTTATAATTAACATTTATAATTACATGTGTATGTAAGTAGAATAGGCAATATACAAACATTCTTGATATAATCAACGTTGACATCACTGTGTCAGTGTAACACTGTATTAATATTTTATTTCATTTCTTGCGTAACACATTAAAATACATATGCGGGAGATGAAATTGTTAATACTGTGGACTTTAGCTGTTGCTCTAAATATTATATTAAGATGCATGAGTGTGAGTTTTTAATTAGGAAAATAATTTAGAAATATTGATGGTCGATAATTGCAACGAGAGAGAGAGAGAGAGAGAGAGAGAGAGAGAGAGAGAGAGAGAGAGAGAGAGAGAGAGATTTTAATAATGTTATCGTTGATGATACTTTAAGCAAGTGGTTCCAACATTGTTATCGATTTAATCTGTTCGTGAAAAATCTCGAGCTAAGAAGGAATTAAACATAAAATTTAAATATATGTATACATGTATATTTTAAATTTTGATAAAGATATATGGTATTAATGCGTAATATTTGTATCAATTTTTACAATTTCGTAAAATTACAATGGTCTTTTTATTACTTGAAATATCTGCAAGTATAAATATATAATATCTATATATTCTTTCGTATATATTTTTTTAATACACAACCGAAAAGATTTCGATACTATTTGAATTTTTACATTTGCATTTAATATCTTGTAATACCCGTAATATCTATACACACACGCACGCCCGCACAAACACGCGCGCGCGTCACGTTGCGTCAAAAATGTGAAAAGGAAATTTCCCCCATCATTGCCTGGTTGACGTTGACGACGACGATGACGACGTTTCTTAAATGTCTCGTGATAAAAATTGTACAATTTGGACTTTGCATTGCAATATCTCCATTCATGGGGCACGTAGGAGAAAAATAAAAACTACACGGTCGGTCTCGCGCGCGCGTTCTAGCTACGCTTATACTTGGCGCGGGACACTACCGTGTCACGTGTTTTTTACAATCTCTACATAAAAGCCTACCTAAAAAGTGTCAAATGCCTCAATTTACCATTAATTCAAACATCACGTTAAATATTACGAATTATTAATTTCTTACGAAATTTAGAAAGTACCTGTACGTGTATGTATATAATCTATTCAGTTCTTGTCAATGAAAAATTTTCTTAGGAGTACTCAAATTTTACTCGACAACGTGTAAGGAGTTTCGAATTTCTACGTTGCTACAATGTCAGTTTGAAATTTAACCCACCATTAAAAACTCGCTTGTAATATGAATTGTATGGAATCGAGGAAACGATAAAAAAAATGTTCATAAAATAACACTCGTTCTCATTATGTTTGGCTATATATGTGTAAAGAGTAAACGTTATATAGATAATGCGAACGGTGTACATGATTCTTGCATGCAATATTGTATACAAAGTTTACTATATCACAGAAAGTTGCCATCCTATAAAAATTTTGTGCCTATTAAGTACATGTATATTCTATCGTGCTTTTCACACACAGGGAGATATACGTTACACACTTGGGCGTTATTTGCTGTTATATTAGTTATTCACCCAGCGTCCACCTGTGCACAATTTGATACCGACGCGTTATTCGATCCACAAACTAAGCATGTTTCTGTCAAAGCAAAAAAATGCGTCGTTAAACAGAACTCGCACATATTCAAAGGGACGTAAATATCATCGACCAAAAAGTTATCGATAAATATGTCAACGGTAAGGAAACAAGTATTTCAACCTTTGAAATAAATTGTTTATTGGTTTTTTGAATGAGTTTAAAAGTTTTCGATATTGGAAGAGCATGATATGTAAATAGATAGGAACCCATACAGCACGCATGTCTAAAAGACATCTTTAAGGTATCTTTAAGTCGTCTTTTAGACATACATATCTAAAAGATGACTTAAAGATATCTTTCAGACATGCGTGCTGTATGGGAAGAGAGGGAGAGAGAGTTGTACGAGCAAAGATTTTTTATGTCGAATCAAATCGAATGAAATTAAATCTCGAGTCGTTGAAATATAATTTTTAATTAACTTCTCAGTTTGACGGAGGAAAATAACATTTTGATTACATACATATGTATATTGTAGGTATAGTATAAATTGTAAGAAAATCATTTTAGAAATTTTAGAAAAACATTTAAATATTTACTATAAAAATAACAAAATATACTTTATTTAATGTTGCAGTAACTGAAACAGGCCAAAAATCAGATAAATTATTAAAGTGCTTGAATATAGAATCCAAAATTACATTATAATTAACATCGAATAATATAATTAATTTTATTATCAGTACCTTTTGCTCTGGATCGAAAGGTAAGAACCAATCACATTCTATGATTTATACTTATTGTTACTGTTAGCCACTCGGTGAGCGGTTATAGTACTAAATGCACCTATTAGCATGTCTGTACTGTTTTATTTATTAATATGGAAAGTATGATTTTATAAAATTGACATACGTATGTACATATAGGTATATACAATTCGTATTTGAACTACCTTGATTTGAAAATATTAAATTGCTCTAATTTGAAGTACAATTCAAATAATTTAAATTTGAGTCGAATTGAATCTTACTCAATTCTATTCGTATTCGAATAGTTTGCACATCTCTAGCAAGAGAGTACACATTTATTTCAGTTACAATCTGGCGAATGCAATATTTGAATGAGATCTAATTATATTTTGCGTTACTGGTCGAAATATATTTGCCTAACAACCTTGATAAGTTATCTCTTGGAAAATATTGAAAGAGATGTACATTCTAGTTCTTGTTTAATCTCTAATCTATTATTTCTTGTTAGAAAGACATAAATTGACATAAATATAAATATTTTGAAGCGATATTTGTAACAAAATAATGTAATTATAATATATTGTAATTTTATATTATTTCAGTTCAAATTATCAATTTATAATAAGGTGCTCAGAGCCTGAACAGGATTGTAATGTCCGATAAAATTACTTTATTATAATAGCAAATGTAATAAAAAAAATATATATACATTTGCTATTATAATAAAGTAATTTTATCGGACATTACAATCCTGTTCAGGCTGAGCCCCTTTATTTTTATTTTCCCTGACGGAAATATTTAACTGAAAGTACATGAAATCAATGGAAAGTGAAATGAAAGTTACTGAAAAATTATAACTGAATGTATCTCAAAATAGATAGCAATTTTTCTTATGAAATTCAATAATAATATTATGAAACCTAAGGAAAATTTAAGTATACCGTCGAAAGAAAATAACAAAATTATGGAATGTACTGAATATAAACTGTTATTTTTTTATAAAAAATTTAAAAAGTATTTTTTACTAAATTATTGGTGAAATGAAACAAAGTCAATTGAGAGAGATTTTTAAATACACTTTATTATATTTTTAATAAAATATTTCCAGTGAAGGATTCTTGTGGTAAACTTTTAATAAAAAATATTGACTAACGCAGAAGAAAAGAGTTGGCAAATTTTTTATCTTTGTATTTTAATTGCTTGGAAAAATTTTAACGTGCGTGCTTGACAAAATAAATGCTCCATACAGTTGCGTTTATCGGTTATCGGCGCATGCATGTCACTATATACATGTACCAACATATCGAACAAATTTATCAAATATTCTGCTTTCTGTTTTCTTTGTGAGAAAGAAACACGATGCATCTTGGACATAAAATCGTAACTTTATTGCACGTGCTTATATCGCGTTGAAAAATGTATTATATCGAACATTTGAAATATTCTCTCTTTCTTTCTTACTCTTTACCTGTTTTTGCATTATTACAAATTTGAATATTTTGAATTTTACGTGTAAAAAAATTAGGATTCTTATTAAAAATGGTTCTTGTATATTTTCTGTAATTTATCTTGAAAATTGATATTATATTGACGCGATATCATATTGTAATAAAATAATTGAGAAGTTTGGCAGATCCACGTATCATTCTTTGAAAAATACAAAACAGAATGAATCGATGCTCGAGTAATCGCGCCAAATATCATGTTTATTGGCGGAAGTTTTAACGATCGAAGTAAAAGAATATATAGTCGACCGCTAAAAAATCGTTCGCATGTATTTGCTTTAATACGGAAAGCTAAAAAGTATTTACGATTTACATGATGGGCGTGATAAGCGGAGACGCGTTTATTGGTTGCGCCCCAATTGTCGGTTCTAATTGATACGAAGTAGTTGTTTATTGACGCCTCTTGGTATCAATCATAGCTACCCTGCTGCACATACGTTATACATACAAATTCAGTATTTAACTTTCGGCGTCATTTATCGGTTATCCATTGCGTCGACATAGCCGATATTCTTCCCACTCATTTTACTGCGATAACGCACGCATACACGCGGGAGATAAACGCATTTTTTACGCCTTACTTCGAACCGTTGCCATAGCGCGGAAACCTACAAAAGTTTTTAGCACTGTTGCAATTCCTCCCCTCTCTCTCTCTCTCTCTCTCTCTCTCTCTCTCTCAAATTAGGGCACAATTTTGCGAAATAGGGGTGGCTTGTTCGTGAATTATCAGTGTCTTCCTGATAGACGACAATCGTATGGGCGTTTTAAGTGCGGGCGTGCGGAATATATAATATTTAATTGATATTTAGTAGTTTGATATTTGTAAGATTTTCAAATGTACTCCTTTACACGTATTCCTTTAAAAAATTTGTCAAAAATATAAAAGCGCAATTAAACATGCAATATATATTCTGGTTTTTTGTCTGTTTGTGTTATATATACCGTTAGATTAGTAACTATTTTAGATGTTAAGTGCGGGCGTTATTAGGCGTTAAGACTAATATGACAACTTATCATATTAGTCTTAACATCTAAAATAGTTACTAATCTAAC